CATGGTGGGTTATGAAATGTCCTTGACACCAGGTACTAATGTTCAGTGGTGAGGTCCTAATGGCCAGCAACCCCATGGGATTCCACGATGCACAGCATGGCCAGCATTCGGCCAAAAGAAGATTGGACACTTTCTGGATGTTTTCTGAGGTGGTAGAGAATTTGATGCCGTTCTGAAGAGGATGGTTGAAAAAAGATGGGATGCTTACATGTTATAAGAGCAATACCTTCCGCTAGATAATAAAGGCCCTCTCATCTGCAAAGGAGAAATTATTGGAAATGGTGCTTTTGTTTATGGGGACAGTCCTTTGTTCCGTCTTCAAGGTGACTACCAATTATTCATCAATTACAGCAGGTCCTCGAAATATGCCAATTTCGTTCAACATCGTTCATGCAAATGTTGAGGAGATGCCATATGCCACAGGAACTTAATTCTTGTTTATATCAATTAGCCTATGTTTCAATTGGTTTCATTATCCATTTTGCTTAAAGTCACAGAACCTATCAAGGAGGACGTTAAGTGGGAACTTACTGTATTTCAGAGGTGATTAGCCAAAGGTGGAAGAGGAGTAGGAAGAGGAGGAGGAGGGATACATATGGCTTTAAAAAAAAAATCATCAATAGACTTCTAGTGATGAAAAATTTGAGAATGTTCCCACATTCTCAAGTGTTTCAGTTCTAGTAACATCTCCAAACTGTCCATGGTGACAGCACCGAACTGGGAGGCATTCAAGGGCACGATCTGAGCAGGCCTCCCCTCACCTCCCAGGATGCTCCTGAAAACAGGAATCTGTTCTGCCTCCCAGTTCATCTCCTTCTTTCTGCCCTTGTGATCAAGAGACTATGAAATGCCAAGATTTCAGGACCAAAGACTTTATTTTCAACTCGAAACAGCAGCAGACGTGTGTGTGTGTGTGTGTGTGTGTGTGTGTGTGTGTGGACAGAAACTGGCAATGCTCACTGATCTTTTCCCATTGCAATCATGGGGATGTGAGATGAGGACAGCGCAGGGAGTCTCTGATGAGCCAGCCCCTCCAGGAGCAGCAAGCTGTCTCTGTAACTGCAACCAGCGCCCCCCTTCCCTCTTAAATACAGCTGTGAGATGTGTCACTTTGCATCCACACTCCATCTGGTGAATAAAAGATGCCAAAAGACAAATAGCCCTGCCCTACTTGGAAAAGACGGGGAGTTGCATCAGGTTGCTCCTAGTAGCGCTCTTTCCTGTTTCCACGGTTCTGAGATGGCAGCTCCCAAAATGGAAATGAAATCCAGTCCTCGCTTCTTGCAGGCTTGCTCAGTGCTCTTCTTCAGAGTCTGGAAAAGGACGGTCCCCAGCCATCCCTGCAGGACCCACTCTGAAGGGACAGGGTGAAGCCACTCCTCAGAGCCTTTATTTTGAGCACAGACTCCACAGGTCTGCATTTTCAGCCCTAATAAGCTGTCACTGTCGTGCTTGCTTATTAACCCACATACCCCGTCCTTCCAAGGCTCTCAGGGAGGGAAGGCAGAGTCCGCCAGAGGCTATTTCTAAGGTTTCCTCTAATCAGAGGCACTGTTTATTGAGCACTTGCTATTCTCCATCAGACACCCTACTAAGTAGACATGTTCATTTAATCTTCACAGCATTTAAAGAAAGATATTATCAATCCCATTGAATAGACTGGGAAGCTGGGGCTTTAAAAAGTTAAATACTTTGCCCAGGGTCATTCTTCTGGTAAGAATCTTGGGAACTGCTGTCCATCCAAAATCCATGCCTGTCACCACTGCTGTGTATCGGAGGAAGAGCAGCACCGGGGCCAGAGAGGCCGCTGGCTTTGCAGTCAGAGCCCTGCCGCTAGTTACTGTGCAATCTCAGCGGTGTTTAACCTCTCCACGCCTCCGTCACTTCCTCTCCAGGGTGGGAAGAGTGATTCCTACCCTGCCTTTCTCCAGGGTGGAGGACAGGAACAGCACCTGTTGCTGCGCTCCGGTAAGTTCACTCCCCTCGCACGGACCTCCTCATCCATCTGTTCAAGGTTGGGAATGAGAGAGATGGGCAGAGAGTCCCAGGATAAGGAGGCCGAAAACTAACTTTAGGAGTTACATGTCTTCTTTTCAAAATTTGAATTTGCCTTTGTGTAACTGTATGGGAAAGCACAGGATCTAATGTTTGAAAACGAATTCTACTAATGTTAAAGTTATCTAGACAAGAAATCAATCAAAATAGGCAACCACATCGTATGTGCTCAATAAATAACTAAAGAAAGGGCAGAGGAATCAGGCTGGAAGCAGACAAAACCAGCATTTTGTCTGGATCGCTTTTATTTTAGCCTCTTTGTATTTCATTACCTATGCATGTAGCTAATTGGTTCTCGGAGTCTCTATCAAATTAATTTAGCCAAAGTTATTTTCACTCTACAATTAGCAATGACAAAGAACTTAAAAGCAATACAAATATTATTTGCCAAACCATCATATTCTATAGTCTGAACAGCCCTATGTTTTTTCTCAACTGAGGCATCATGATAGGATGGGTCTACTTTCTTGAAATTTCAAATTGCCTAATTAAGCAACACTCATGGAGACCGAACACACACACACACACACACACACACACACACACACACATACACACAGCTGATATAAAAATGAAGCTGCCAAAAGCAGCTAATAAAACCCCAGGGCACATGTTGATTCCTACAGCCATCAGTTAGCACAATGCTGATGCAGAAAAGGATCCGTGACAGCCTGCTAATGAGGACTTTTGGGAACTCTTGGAAGAAAGAAGAGAAAATGAATTTATGATGGTTTAGTTCAACTAAATGTTTGAACGAAGGAAATAAAAGGTGGTAACTAATAATTGGTGGTGGGGGACCCCTAACCATACAGTGGGGATTTGGGTAATATAGCAAATGAAATACTCCTCATTCTACATGAAAGACACCTGTGGCTGATGCTCTGCAACACAATCACAAAATTAACCCATTTTCTCCACTCTTAAAATTGCTAAAAGGAGCAAAAATGCCAAAATAGATCCCTTCAAAACTTTTCTTTTAATATATTTTTGTACTGATTTCAGAGAGGGAGAGAGAGAAACTTGAGTGATGAGAATCACTGATCAGCTGCCTCCTGGACGCCCCCTACTGGGGATGGAGCCTGCAACCAGGGCATGTGCCCTGACCTGGAATCTAACCGTGACCCCCTGGTTCATAGGTCAATGCTCAACCACTGAACCATGGCAGCTGGGCCCTTCAAAACTTTTTTAACAGTAGGAACATAGTGAATACTCTCCGTCTAAATGACCACCTGTAATGAAAGCCACCATTAATTAGAATGATGGCATTCATTTCCGCGCAACCACATGGCATGATCATTCCGGTGCCTGAATTTAAGTCTCAGAATGCAAACTCACCGGGCACATCTCGCCCCCTCCTCAGTTCCCAGGTCTGTAAGGACAAGGGTGGCTCCGGATGAGGACAGCAGCAGAAGGGACAGAGCATTTCTCCTGCCATTCCTAAAGCCCCGTCACAACCTTCCCCTCCTGTCCCCAGGTCCCCCGACAGACTCCCCCAACTAGTCTCAACTGTGCACAAAAGTTAGCCTGCTAGGAGAGACCTGGGTATTTTACGTAGTCAAAATGGAGGATTTTGTGTGAAAAGAACCTGGGGAGGAGAGTAGCTTAGACCGAGCTCTCTCTCCTCACCTGTTCTAACTCAATCCTGTTAAAACTGTTCACCACCGTCAGATACGAAGTGTTTCCCCACAGAGGGCCTTCAGTACTACACTGGTACACTGTCGAGACAGCACTGATTGAGACAGCATTTTGAATATCAAACTTCAGGCACAAAATCAGAGCCTATTAATACTAATCAGAAACAAAAGTAAAGAAAGACAGGGTTTTAATTAACTCTACCCAACAGAGGGAGATGAAAGGGTATGGTGCCCCATAACAATCAGGATATGGGAAGCACAAAAAACTCCCAGGAATATACTGCTTTTTTGATTCTGGGGGGAAGTAGCTACAACTTTCATTGAGCATAAGATACCAGGAATTACGTAAGCAGCTGCACTGCAAATGTTGGCCCCAATAAGAGCAATTGAAATCGATTCTGGAATGTGGTTAAACTGCTTTATCTAATACCATTAATAAATACGAAGATCTTTCATTAGTTGGACAGTTGCTACTGGCCAGTTTGATCTTCCTGAAGATAGCCAAGACTTACATGCACTTTTGTTCCAGATAAAAGTGCTCAAGTCCCAAAGTACAGCTCCTGGAATGAGAAAGTTCCAGGCAGTGCCACACTTCTCCTCCACGGGTCTAAAGTCTCCTTCCACCTGTTCCCGGGTTCGGGAGGGGAGGGCCAGGTGTTTGTTTGGAACACTTTCTGTTGAACATTTTTTTAAAAGTGGACCTTTTAGAAATATCGTGGTAAATCAGAAATTCTTGTGCAAGAGTGAACGTCTAAGCAGAACGAAAAATGACGTTCCCCTTCCGGGCCACACTGGGTGGCCTGCACTTTGAAACCCAGAATGACCAGGACTCGTCATTATTGAGCAAAGGTATGCACCGTAGGAGATGCAGTCCCCGAGCTTAACAAGGTGCCCTACGGCTTGTGCGCAAGAAGGGAAGTCGCTTCTCTTTACCCCTGACCTGAGACTCTGCCTCGTCCCCCTTCCCGCATGTTACATCTGGGTTTGCTAGTCTGCAAACTACACAGAGACAGCGCCAAGAATCGCCACCTGCGCGGTGCCACCCAACCCGGGAGGCAGCAAGGCTGGTGCACCTTACAAGTGTCCCCACGCCCCGCGCCTTCCTCCCAGGGCCGACCCAGAACTGCATTATCTTGGGACCCAGAAGCAAACACCTTCCACAGAAAAAGAGGGAGAGAGGGCTTGCATTATATAACAATATTCCGTAGATAAGGCTTCTAGAAAACGAAAGTACCGAGGGGAAGGGAGGCGAGGGGAGGGGAGGGGCGGGGAGGCGAGGGGAGCCCGTGGGGAGCTTTCCCCGCCACTTACTCGAAGGCGAAGAAGAGCCCGCTGGTGACCAGGATGAGGACGAGCGTCAGGTAGAAGACGCCCGTCTGCCGGGCCATCATGATCCTCCCGTTGCAGAAGAACTTGTTTCTTCCCGGGAAGACCTCCCATTTCCTCCGGGCCGGGATCTTCTTCTTCTTGTGGGGGGAATCCATGGGGCAGGAGTGGGGGTGCGCACTGACTGTACTGGAGTTTTCATTGGCTCGCCGCGGCGGAGCATCAGAGGTAGGTGGCTGGGGTGGACCCCCTCCAACATCTCCGGGACTCGGTGTCGGGCAGGGTAGAATGGCGGATTTAAACATTTGTTCTCGAGCCGCGCCGGATTGTTTTTTATTC